TATTTTATTGCTAGTTATTGTTAATCTCTTACTGTGCCTAAATTTATAAGCTAAACTTTATCAGAGGTATGTATGTATAGGAAACAACATAGCCTATACAGAGTCAGTACTATCCCTGGTTTCAGGCATCTGCTGGGGGTCTTGGAACATATCTTTCATGGATAAGGGTGGGGGCTAATGTAGCTCTCTGAATGGAGGGGAGGACTACAAATAAATATGAGTGGACATGATCACTTAATGATTAGATAGATAGTTCTGGAGCTTTGTTAGGGCTTTTAGAGGCCAGGCTATTCTCTTGGGCCCTGGAAGCTGGGTTTCTGAATTGATGAGGGAGCTGGATGAGCTGATGCCTAAGGGGTTGCAATTCTAAGCTTTCCCTGCTTGCCACTGCTCTAGTTGTGTAAAGTAAGCTAGCTTTGGAAAGGAAGAGACCTCTGGGTTTTTCCTACTCTGCAGAATTGGCCCCTGGCTAAATTCCCAGAGGCTCTTTGGAAGCTTGGTCAGATGGCCTGTGCTCTGGGTGAATCAATTCATACCAACAAGATCTAGTCAGTCCCCACACCTACCACAGCCTCCCTGAGTGGAAGCCTCCTTTGCATCTAATTGTCTTTGGGTATCATATTGGCTTCCTATTGCTGTTGAAACAAATTACTACAAATGTAATGGCTTATTACAACACAGATTTATTTTCTTATTGTTCTGAAGATCATGTGTCCAAAATCAGTCTCATTGGACTCACTGAACTCGAGATGTGAGCAGGGCTACTTCCTTCTGGAGGCTCTAGGAAAGAAAATATATTTCCTTGTCTTTTCTATTTTCAAAGAGGCTGCCTGCATTTCTTTGGCTCCTGGTCCCTTCCTCCATCTTCAAAGCCAACAGTGAGCATCTTGTCTCCTCACTGACCTCTGCTTTCATCCATGAACATTGTCTCTGACTCTGATCCTCCTGTCTTCATCTTATAAGGACTCTTGTGATTACTTCCATTGGGCATACTCAGATAATTGCAGAATAATAATCTCATCTCGTATCCTTCATTTAATCACATCTGCAAAGTCTTCTTTACCATGTAAGGTGGCATGCTCATGGGCTCTATGGAATAGAACATGGACAGTTTTGGAGGGATCCTCATCTAGCCTACCCCAGGAATTATCTATTCAATTTCAAAACCTAGACTTAGGGAGAAGAGTGTTTTGAGACTCCTGTGTGGGAATCTGTACCTGCTTGTAAATTTAGCTGTTTACAACAGCATAAGTAATTTGCTTCTTGGGTGTTTAGGTTGTCTTTTTTAAAAATTGAGAGTCTTTATCCACAGAAATGTGCACTTATAAAAAAGAGGTGTCCATATCACCTCCAAGCCACCAGGTTATGATGAACCACACTCCTTATCTTCCTTCTTCATTTTGTTCATGGCAGTTACTGAGTGCCTACCAAATAGGAGGAGGTGTGCTAGGGAGATATAAGAGCCTCCAGGACATTCTCCTTTCTCTTATGGAGCTTGTGTCTAATGGAGTAGAAAGGCACGCAGGCAATTATTTTTAACACAAGCAGGATGTGCTAAGTGATAAAATAGTGACAAATCAAAATAGTGTGAAGACAGCAGGGGACATCTGTTCCAGCCCCTAGGGTGTCAGATCATGCACTCCGATTTGTAGCTCAGAAATATAATCATTATTAATATATGCACCTGAATTTCAGGTTACTAACTCTTGCAGGCTAAGAATTTTGGGGATTTATTTTTAATAGTATGATATGGTTTTGCTGTTTATGTAAGGTCTTTGGTTCAAAGCAAGTGCTCAGCTCTGGTAATTTATATGAAATCGCTTCTACTCAAATTTTATTAAAGTTGAGGACAATAAGAAAATCTGGTTAGTCTTCTTATTTCGTGATGATTCTGAATGGATAAACTTCTATAGCCTGGGCCACACTCTGAAAGGACTTGTTTCCCATGACTGACCTACAAATACCTAGCATGGTTGGCTTTTCTAGTTGGAAAGATAGCTCTTCCTCACATGTCCTTCAGGGGCAAAGGGGAATCTCCACCAAGAGCTCTCTCCAGCCCAGAATGCAATTTTAGAAAATACAGCTGACTTCTCTGGGAAAAACAAAACCAACCTTGTCTTACTCTGGTCATGGCAACTACGTTGGCACCTCATTATCGCCTTGTTAGCAAGAACTGGCTGCATGGTAGACAAACCTGGGAGGAAGGGTTGGCCCTGTGTGGGCAGGGTTTTGAGTTAAGCTTAATTGCTCTTCTAAAGCTCAGCTACTTAATACTACACAAGTCGAGATCTATCATCAGACTCTTGACCATCCATCCTCCTCTTCCTTCCTCATTCTTGCCTATATAGACATTAGTGCCCCCCCCCACTGCCTGATTCATGCTGAGCCACACAGGGACCCCAAGTCTTGTCTGTAACCAGCACAACTCCCCAGAGGAGAACTGGGCTGTAACCTTGACCTCCCTCTCCCCAATATTTTAAAATGCATCCAGCCTGTTCTGCCCTTGGAGCATAGCAGGGCTGCTGGCTGGTAATGGTGGTGTCTTTTTAAACAACTTATAGCCAATTTTTAAAATTTTCACATGAATGGGAGAGAGTAACAAAGTCATTTTTACTTGACTCTGAAATGTGATTTGTTCTTGCATCTAAATGTGGCTGTGCCTGACAGTCTGGACACTCCATTCCAACCTGACAGTAAGGCAGCCCATACCACTGACCCTGCCTCCCTTTTCCTCCCCATCTGAGACTACCCACCAGCCTCTCTCGTCTTTGTTTCATTATCACTGGACTTTTACGGCACAGAACCTGTGAAAGTAGAGACTAAAGTGTCCCAGCTGTGTGGTTTTCGTCCCACACTCCATAAGCATCCTGACTCTATCTACAACCTGGATTGTCCATGGCAATCCCAATTTCCAATTTCACAGTCCTGCTCTTCCCATTCAAATGTCCTGGGATCCTAGTTCATCAACACTCCGAACATAGTTTCTGATTACACTCACTTCCCAGAGGGAAATTTAAAACCCAGAAAATAATGGTCTTATTGAAGAGCCCTGTTTGTGGTAACCACAGATCCCAGACTTTCTGGGAAAGTCAATCCAATTTCCAGACCATATATACTGACTTTTGGTCCAGAAAACACTGTAACCAACCAACATAAGTCACATGAAAGGCATATGTCAGACAGCTAATCTCCCCCGGGGTAAGAGTCTGTGAGAGTCCACCACTGCCTACTATCTCAATTCATATCTTTCACTTGTGATTTTTTGGGTTATTGCTTACTTCAGTTGGGTTTGCTATCTGGGTTGAAGAGGGAACTGTGATATTGTGAGAAATATATTTGGACTTCATTAGGTTTCCTGGCAGACAACTCCTAAAATTTTTGGAATCTAATAAATGTTTTTTTGTATGCTAATGATTAACAGATGGCTGGCAACCCTTGGGTATCTTCAGGATGGGGGCTGGTAACCAAAAAACTAAGACAGGATTGGAGGGTTGGGACTGAACCCAACCTCAGGGAAGGAAAGAGGGGCTGGAGGTAGAATTGATCACCAGTGGCCAGTGACCTGATCATTCATGCCTATGAAATGAAGCCTCCTTATAAACCCAGAAATGACTTAGGATCCGAGAGCTTCTGGATAGCTAACACATGGAGATTCCTGGAGGGCCAAGCACCTGGAGAGCGCATGGGAGCTCCGTGCCCCTTCCCACATACCTTGTACTATGCGTCTCTCTCATCTGGTGTTCATTGGTAACTTTTGTAATATTCTTAATAATAAGCTAGTCAATGCAAGTGTCTCCCTGAGTTCTGTGAGCCACTATAGCAAATTAGTGTAACCCCATTTTATAACCGGCTGTTCAGAAATAACCTGGGGCTTGTGATTGGCATTGGAATTGGAGAACAGTTTTGTGAGACGGAGTCAGTCTGTGGAATCTGACACTATCTCCAGGTAGATAACATTAGAACTGAATTGCAGGACATCCAGCTGGTGTCCACTGTGGAACTGATTGCTTGGTTGGTATGTGGGGATAATCCCCCACACATCTGGTGTAAGAAGTGATCTGTCTTGTGAGAGTACAGGAGAAACTGAGTTGGTTTCTGTATTTAGACAGGAATGTGATTCTTGCTGCTTTTGGTAAAGTGAGGACAAAGATGAAAATGTCTTCGGCACAAATATATGCACAATTCACTTTGTATGCAATTGTCAAGCTTGCTTTTTTCACTTAACAATAGAGCACATGGATTGTCTTATGTTATTCAAGTGGTGTTTTTCTTTCTTTTTTTAGGGGGCAGGGGAAGGGAAGAGCAAGTAACCAAGGAGGATTTAGCATGTTGAAATGCTTTTTATCTTAAGCTTGGTGCTGGGTACACTTTTTAAAGTGTTATGTAATAAAGTAGAAATTTAAATACCAATAGTAAATGGTTACTTAATGTTGATATATCATAATTTAATTTATTCCGTTCAAATCTCATCCTCCCATTGGTGGATGTTTATAATTTTCAACTTTGGACACTTTAATAATATATTAAGTATCTTTGGCTATAGAGTTTTGTATGCATTTGAACTTATTTTCTTAGGTTAGATTTATAGAATTGAAGTATTGGATCAAAGACTATGGCTGTAATGAATGCATTTTTAACAAAGCTGTATGAGTTTAGACTATTATTAATATTGTGTTCATTCTACTCTAGCTCTTCAAAACTGAGTGATGTTACTTTTTAATATTTGCTATTTTGCTAGGCAGATGTTTGTTTCTGATGATTTTAGTTTGTGTTTCTAATTGCTAGTGAGTTTGAACTTTCTGCCATATAATTTTTCTATTGGAGTTTTTTGTTTTTGTTTCTAATGTGTACGTACGAGCACAAGTTTTTGCAGCTTTTCTTGTGTGGGACCTGTGTGGGAGGTCTTGTTATGTGGTAAGGGAGACCACAGATTGCAAAAAACAGTACCTTGCCCCTTGTTGAAAACCAGTCGTGCATTGTAGACCTCTGTCTTCCTGCAGTGCCGCCAAGCTCCTGGACAAGAACCCGTTCTCCGTCAGTAACCCGAACCCTCTGCTTCCTTCACCTGCCAGTCTCCAACTGGCTCAACTGCAAGCCCAGCTCACCCTCCACCGGCTGAAGTTGGCACAGACAGCTGTCACCAGCAACACTGCCGCCGCCACAGTCCTGAACCAAGTCCTCTCCAAAGTGGCCATGTCCCAACCTCTCTTCAATCAGCTGAGGCATCCATCTACGATTAGCACCCCGCACGCCCATGCCGGGGTGCCCCAACATGCTACAACCATACCCAGCACCCAGTTTCCCTCTAATGCAATTGCCTTTTCGCCCCCCAGCCAGACACGAGGCCCAGGACCCTCTATAAGCCTTCCCAGCCAGCCCCCTAATGCCATGGTGTTGCATCCTTTCAGTGGGGTAATGCCTCAGACCCCTGGCCAGCCAGCTGTCATGTTGGGCATTGGCAAGACCGGACCCGCTTCGGCTACAGCAGGATTCTATGAGTATGGCAAAGCCAGCTCTGGCCAGGGCCAGACATATGGCTCAGAAACAGACAGTCAGCCCGGCTTCCTGCCAGCCTTGGCCTCTACCTCAGGCAGTGTGACCTACGAAGGACACTACAGCCACACAGGGCAAGATGGCCAAGCTGCCTTTCCCAAAGACTTCTACGGACCCAATTCCCAAGGGTCGCATGTGGCAGGCGGATTTCCAGCTGAGCAGGCCGGGGGCATGAAAAGTGAGGTAGGGTCACTGCTGCAGGGTGCAAACAGCCAGTGGGAAAGCCCCCATGGATTTTCTGGCCAAAGCAAGCCTGATCTTACAGCAGGTCCCAACCTGTGGCCTCCACCCCACAGTCAGCCCTATGAACTGTACGACCCTGAGGAACCCACCCCAGATAGGACCCCTCCTTCCTTTGGGGGTCGGCTTAACAACAGCAAACAGGGTTTCAGTGGTGCCCGGCGGCGGGCCAAGGAAGAGCAAGGGATGCTGTCGGTGCGGCCCCTGCAGGCTCACGAACTGAATGACTTTCATGGTGTAGCCCCCCTCCACCTGCCACACGTCTGTAGTATCTGCGACAAGAAGGTGTTTGATTTGAAGGTGAGTCATCCAAGATAGGCTGGGAGCCATAACTAGTAGTCTGGGCAGCCTTTCCCCCACAACACAACTCTTGCTGCTCATGTGCGAAGAACCGTACATTTGGAGATTGGGTCATAGGATTTTGCTATCAGGATCCTTGATTAAAATCATAGGTATTAGAAATCAAAGGAATTTCAGAGTGTACCAGGACCACCCCTTACTTTAAGGTGAGTCAGAGCTCTCAACCTACTTTTTATATATAAGAAAGCTGAGGTTGGGCTGGGGAGCAAAGGACCCCACCTGGATTGCAGAGAAGGGGTTCAGGAACTCAAGTCTCCTGCCTTCTTGTGGAGGGCTTTTCTTCTGTGATATGTCTAGAAGCTACTGCACTCAAGAAACATGTTTTTTTGTGTTTTTTTTTTTTGAGTCAGAATCTCACTCCGTTGCCCAAGCTGGAGAGCAGTGGCTCAATCACGGCCACCCCAGCATCGACCTACTGGGCTTAGGTGATCCTTCTGCCTCAGCCTTCCAAGTAGCCAGAACTACAGGTGTGTGCTACCGCGCCCGGCTAATTTTTTGATATATTGTAGAGACAAGGTCTCACCAAGTTACCCAGGCTGGTCTCGAACCCTTGGGCTCAGGCAATCCTCTCACCTTGGCCTCCCAAAGTACTGGGATTACAGGCTTGAGCCTATGCATCCGACCCAGTTTTTTTTTGTTTTTTGTTTTTAAAGGAAAATTTTGGATCAGGGCAAGAGAGAAATTCTCACTTGGGACCTAGACAAAGTATTGTAATGGGCCTCAACTTTCCCATCTGCAAAATGGAGGTAGAGCCTCCTGACAGCTTCCCGGTGGTTGTCAAATGCTTTGGACCACTGCAAGCAAAGGTTCATTGTAGTAGAGTTTTCCCCCCAAAATATATTGTTGATACAGTAAAATATTCTGAAGTAGTAATAATTATAATAACAAACAGATATTAAACTCTTTCTGTGTGCCAGCAGTAACTCTGATGAGGTAGATACTATTACTGTTCTCATTTTACAGATGAGAAAACTGAGGCGCAGAGAGATTAAATGACTTGCCCGGCGTCCCCTAGCTAGAAAGTAGCAGACTGGTGATTAAATGTTAGTCCGACCCTTCCAGAGCCTGAACTTCTTAAAAACCGGGCTGCCTTGCCTCCCATCTCTCCTTCCATCTGAGAACATGATAAAATTCCTGCTTAGTGTGAGTCACACCATAACGTGTCTTTCACCTCTGCTTGGGCCACACCATCCAAGTGCATTCCTGTGATTCGGGTGGGACAGACCCTCGGCCTCCAGACTTGGGAAGGGACTGGCTGACACCGGGAGGCGCTTGAGGATTTTTTTAAAATTTAATCTTATTTTAAAGATGTGGAGTACAATTCAGGGTTTGGTATACAAGTGTTCATTATACAGATACCCTTGTTGATGCGGTGTGCCCCTCCCTCCCCTGGCAGTTTCCCTCAACTGCCAATCCCACCCTCCCTAGATTTTGTCTCTCATGAGCTCTCTCTAAGGTTTTATCGGTCACTGTAAGTCCAGCTGCCAGATTCTCCCAACTGGATATAAAAATGGGTGAGGGGAAGAGGTGGGAGGTAGGAACTGAGTCTAGCGTCCAACTTGTGAGTCTGCCCTCTTGTCTAAGTTGGGTACAGGATGTGCGGATGAGGGGCTGATGGAGTAGGGGCTAGATGGAGAGGCTGGAGCAGGAGGAGAAGCCTCAGGGGAGAGGAGTGGGGAGAGGGGGCTGGTCCAGCCTCAGGGTGCTTTATGTTCCCTGCCTGGCTGGTGACTTCATGTTTATCCTTTGCCTTCCCATGGACTCAGTTCTACTTCGGTCTCTTTTCTTTTCTTCTGACCTAGGACTGGGAGCTACATGTGAAAGGGAAGCTGCACGCTCAGAAATGCCTGATCTTCTCTGAAAAGTAAGTGTTATTCAGGAGAACAGTCTCCTATGCATGCTTAACAAACATCCATTGAGTAACTACTGTGTGTCACACTGTTCTGGGTCTGGGCAACAACAAAGACCAAACAGGCAAAGTCTCTGTCCTCAAGGAGCTTACACTTAACGGGGGCCTGACAGATGATAAATAAAACGGACAGTACATTATTAGATAGGATTCCTGGGGGTAGCGTCTGGGCAGAAGCAGAAAGAGTGTGTGTGTGTGTGTGTGTGTGTGTGTGTGTGTGTGTGTATGCCCTTGTGCCCACTAACTTTTGGGGGCAGGTCTTTGCATTTTAAATGGGGTAGTTGGGAGAGGCCTCACTGAGGACACCTCAGGAAGGGGCGGAGCCGGTGACTATCTGGGGAAGCGCATCCTGGCAGTAGAGCAGCATGCTCGAAGGCCCTGCAACTGGTGTAGACCTGGGAGGCTCAGGCAACACCCAGCATAACCAGGGCACAATGACAGAGGAAAGGAGCCAGGAAGTTCCAGGGCCCAGATCCTGAGTGCTTGGGAAGACTTTCACGTTTGACTTGAGTTCTATTGGAGCTGAAGGGTTCAGCAAAGAAGTGATGCACTCAGGCTCCACTGAACAGGACCCTGGCTGTCATGCTGAGAATAGACACTGGGGGCCAAGGGCAGACCCCCTGGAGGCCAGGGGGAGGTTGCTCCGGTAATCCAGGTGGAGAAGAGGGTACCTGGCCCAGGGATGTAGAACAAATGACTGGAGTTCAGTGTTTTGAAATGTGTGCATTGGAAAGGCCTCTTTTGATTATTCACAATAGCCGAAACCCAGAGGCAACCCAAATATTCATGGTATATCCATACAATAGATTAGCCTTAAAAAGGAAGGAAATTCTGACATGTTCTACAGCAGATAAACCTGGAAGACATTATGCTAAGTGAGATAAGCCAGTCACAAAAAGGACAAATCCTGTGTGGTTCTACTTATATGAGGTACCTATAGTAGTCAGATTCAAAGAGCAGACAGTATAGCGATGGTTGCCAGGGACTGGGGAAAGGAGAAATGGGGAATTAGTTTCAGAGTACAGAGTTTCAGTTTTGTAAGAGGGGAAAAGTTCCGGAGAAGATTGTGGTGATAGTTGTGCAACAATATGAATGTACTTAATGCCGCAGAATGTATAGTTAAAAATTGCTAAGGCAGGGCTCGGTGGCTCAGCTGTAATCCCAGCACTTTGGGAGACTGAGACTAGTGGACTGCCGGAGCCTACAGTTTTGTAACCAGCCCAGGCAGCTTGGTGAGACTGCGTCTCTACAATAAATAAAAAATTAGCCTGGTGTGGTAGCGCATGCCTGTAGTTCCAGGTACTTGGAAGGCTAAGGCAGAAGGATCGCTGGAGTCCAGCAGTTTGACACTGGAGTGGCCATGAGTGTGCCACTGCACTCCAGCCTGGGCAATGGAGTGAGACTCCAACTCAAAAAAAATAAAATAAAATAAATTAAAAAATAAAAAGGCTAAGGTGTTAAACTTTATGTCATATGTATTTTATCACAATTAAAAAATACTATATATTTTTTTGAGTTGGAGTCTCACTCCATTGCCCAGACTGGAGTGCAGTGGCATGCTCCCGGCCACTGTAGCTTCGACCTGCTGGGCTCCGGTGATCCTTCTGCCCCAGCCTTCCAAGTAGCCAGAGCTACAGGTGCACGCTAACCACACCCGGCTAAATTTTTATTTATTGTAGAGACAAGGTCTCACCAAGTTGCCTGGGTGGGTCTCGAACTGAATAATACTCCATTATATGTATATACCACATTTTGTTTATCCTTTCATCTTTTGGTGAACATTTGAATTGTTTCTACCTTTTGACTACAGTGGTTAGTGCTGCTATAACATTCATGTACAGTTTTTGTTTGAATACCTGTTTTCAACCATTTGGGAGTCTGTATCTAAGAGTAAAATTTCTGGGTCATAAGATAATTCTGTATTTAACTTACTGAGGAGCTGGTTTCCCTTCTTCACCCCTCTCCAGTGCTGGTGTCCGGTGCATGCTCGGTTCTGCAGAGGGAACACTGTGTGGCTCTCCCAACAGCACAACTCTTTGTAACCCTGCTGGGAACCAAGGTGAGCAAGATCCTGCAGGGCAGCAGCTTGAAGGGAAAATCGGCTTTCTATAGGCACACAATGTTCTGTCTTCAATAACCAGGACTTCCTGATGGGCCCTTCTTATGCATGTATCAAGCAAACAGACCCCAAGACATTAAAATACATTGAGTCTGCTGTCTGAACCCAGTAGTATTGTCTGAGATGTTTTAGACATAAGCTTTACTGATTATCACCATGTCCAGAGATATAATTTTGCCAGTCACATATAAATATGTTGATGACATTTTCAATTTTCTCTTCCCACTTATGCCCTAATAATGATTTTTGAAGGCAAATCAATAACTGGGTTTTCACCTGGTTTGCATAATTCATCATTTAGATTATGACGCAAATCTCGGAACATTGTACGCAGCCATTCCAGTACGGTCATTTGCTCAGTCAAGTCCTGCGTTTCCTTTGGCTTCCACAGGGATAAATGTAAGTACAGGAGCATTTTCTTTATTGTCATTGTTGTCCTCAAAGTATTTGTGTCACCTGCTATGTCTGGGCCCAGAGGTGCAGATCTGGCTTTGTGTCGTTCAGGAAAAAAAATCCCTAGACAGAAGTAGAGGATCGTTTAATTTAGTCCAGCTAGCACTGAAACATGGCTAAAAAAGCTGATATAAATTCTTAAAATCAAAGGCACTCATAGACTTTCTAGCATTCAGCACTGGTTTAGGAAAAAAAGAAAAAGGTTTTAGCTTTTTTTTTGTTTAAGACTTTTTGATGTTCTATTGAAGTGGACCATTTTCTATGATAGAGTAATTTTGAAACATGAACGAGAAAGTGTGTTTGAAAGTAAGGACTATGTACTAACAGGATTTGTTGGCCCTTTGGGGAAATGGCTGACTCTGTTTAATATTTTCATTTGTTTTTATTTTTCTTCTTCTTTCTCTCTGATATGCACTTTAGTACTCCAAAGCCCCAAAGCTTCACTTTTATTTTTTCACCAATATCAACAGCTCCTTTTTTCTTTTTGGTTTCAATTGTTTTCCCACTGCAACTGCATAGATTGTCCCCACCCCCACCCCATTTGGCTTCTCTTCTTCTCTGGGCATGAGGAAGAGGAGTGGGAGGCAAAATCCATTGTAAAACAAAATGCTGAGCCCTGCTGGGGGTTGCCTGTTTGCTTTTGCCTGCGCTTGTGTTCTTCCTTTTCTGTTTGTGACGTGAGGCTGCACCCTCTCCCTCTTTGCCTGCAACAAGTTAGCGAGCACAAGCTCATGAAAGCAGCTCTCCATGTGCTGTCCCCTCCACATGTTGGCGTGCAAATGTTAGACCAGCAAGCTGTGCGGTGTGGCTTTCAGGCCCTGGGGAGCGAGTGAGTGGGGAGGTAAGGACGTTCATGATGAGATGAGGCCTGCCAGAGCCAAAGTTTCTTTTTATTTGTGTCTACTTACTTGTGATGTTGATGGGAGAAGTACTTCGAGAGAGTACCTGTCTGGAAACCCACATTTTGGTGAAAGATAATTTTGTGCTTTCCCCTCTCTGTACCCTCTCCCCTCAGAGCCACGACCAGGTCAATGGCAGCTTGGGGTCAGTCCCAGGAGACGAGTAGCTAGTTTCACTGAGACCTGTCTCTTGTCTTTGAGCTCATACTCCTGAGCACAGGCCCTTATATCCTGTTTGGGGTGCTGGGGTCTCCTGTGTACCCGTACCCCAGGGCCTCTTTCCACACACTGTGGTCATGGAGGCACCCCTGTGCCCATAGCCCTGCCCCAAGACCCTACCCCAGGCACTGAGGGAGAGGAATGGAGACGAGGGAGGCTGGATTGGGTGGCAGGTGGGCTGGGGCCAGGGCTTGTTCATTGACTTCATCCTGGGTTCTGGGCACAAGAAAAAGCTGGTGTCAAATCAGCCCCTTTACAAAGGGTGGAGCGTGCAAGAGAAACAGGCAGGGCACTCCTCCAGAGCTGCCTGTTAAGCCAGAGTCCCTTTCCTACGGACTTGGAGTCTAGGGACCTAAATTCAAGTTCTGGTTCTGAAGCCACCAGTTGCATGCCCTCAGGCAAGTAACTTTATCTCTCTGAGGCTCTGTTTCCTTAAGTGGGGACAATAACTCCCTAGATAATGATTTTTGGAGGTTTTCGCCTTCAGAAATTATGTCGATCATGCCTCAAATCTTGGCACATCCTATGCAATCCTGTAGCACAGTCTTCTAATTCAGTGGCCAGCACTAGAGGGTGGGAGCAAGGCTCGGGGTAAGCCAGAGTTGTCCTGCCCTTGTGAGATCAAATGAGATGCGTGTGACAATGACTCAGAAACTATCCTGTATGTGTGAAGTAACCGCGATGGTTCTTGAGTAATGAGTGCTTTCAACCCATTTTAGCTACGAAGAGTAGTGGGAAGCACATTCCTCCAATACCTGTTCCCCCTTAGAGATGTTTTGAGTTTCCTATGAAAGTATTTTTCAATTACATACATGCTGGGCAAGTACAAGCAATCTGCTGATTCATGATAACTCATATTAATAGCCAGAAGCTCTGAGTACAACTTCCTTCACTATCTAGAGTCTGAGGAGAAACAACACAAGAAACAGCTTGCTTTCTGCACTGGGAGAGAGCAGGAGATGGAAAGCCTCAGATATTGTAGGATGACAGTAGCCAACATTCATTTCATGCTTAATGTGTTCTTAATTCTTTTGTATGATATTAGCTCATTTAATCTTCTGACAACCCTTTGAGGTGGATACTATTAGTATTCTTATTGTACAGTTGGGAAACTGAGTGCTGTATGTAAGGTCACAGCTGGTAATTGGAGGTGGTAGGATTTCAATCCAGACAGTCCTGCTTTGGAAATCTCACTTGTAACCACTAAGCCATGCTGCCCCTTGCAGGAGTCTCTTCCTCACCGTGATTCTTCCTTTAGTAAGCCTCTCCCCATACCACCTCCTCCCTCAAGCTGCCTAGGAGGTTCTGAGGCTGCCTTGAGGGTGGCAGAGACTTCTCTGGCCTTGGCCAACCATGGAACAAGATGAAGAAGCCAGTCACACCTGGCATCCAAATTCTTCTGCATCTCCCAAGAGAATTCAGATGTCAAGAGGCGGTTTCTACACACCCTATGGAAGTAGAGATGCATCATTTGACTGGTTTTGTCATTATAAATTCTGTGAAGTCTTGCTAGTCACATGAGCCTTCCCAGGGATATCTGGGGGACAAGGACAAAGCCTACCCCAGTCGGTCCCTGCATTACCAGTGACTTAATATTCATTTACTTGCTTTTATCAGATGCTGGTCCCCCACTTGCCATTTCTGGCAAATGGAATTGAATGCAGGTTTATCTTTCTTTAGGAAAACCTAAAATGCAAAAATACTGACATTTGAAGACAGGGTGAGAAATGAAGAAAAGGTTAATCCTCCACTAAAAAAATTTTTGCAAGACCCCTTTAAGTAGCAAAAGAATCTTTCAGGGAAATTATTGATTTTCTTTCTGCCTACAAATACTGATCTCCAAAGATAAGGAGATACGTCAAGGGGTGATTGCTCTGTTGCTAAAAGATACTTGCCAGGCCTCATGAGTACCCAGTGAATTTTTTTTTTTTTTTTTTTTTGAGTTGGAGTCTCACTCTGTCACCCAGACTGGAGTGCAGTGGCCGCTCCCGGCCACCACAGCCTCGACCTGCTGGGCTCTGGCGATCCTTCCGCCTCAGCCTTCCGAGTAGTGAATTTCTTTTGCATGTACATTCCCGTTGTTTTTTCTGCTTACAAAACATAAGCTTATTCTGAAAATTCAAATAGAAAATAAATAATGAGAATGAAATTCCCCAGTTACCCCCCCTTCCAGACCCCATAGAGATTCCATGTTCTAGTGGGTTCTAGTCCTGTGCCAGTGCTTCTTCTTCCTGATTCCATTTACATGCATCTTTCCAGAAACACATCTTGTCAAGTAAAACCAGGAATAGCCAGGACTCCACCACTGTAAGGTCAATGATATTTGTGGAGCAAAAAAGCAATTGTTGACTCTAAAGCTTCCTGCTTTTAAGCAAGAGACCAAGGTGACCCAGGGCTCTGGGAATGAACCTTCAGAACATCCTTCAGAACATATCTGAACTGCCACAAAATCTAAAAGGACCAGAAAAACTCTCCACTACTGCCACCCTGCCCTTCTGGGGACAGCTTAGGCTCCATTTAAACTTGTCTCAACTCTGCCAAAGTCTGAGTCTTTCATTGCCATGTTTATTTTTGACAGAGATTGGGACACTGCACTGGCAGTTGTGTGCTGTGTTTGCTGGTGGTGGGGTGATTTGTGTCTGTCCCCAGCCCCTCCCCTCCCGCCCCAGGGTCCCCGGAGATGAGTGTTCACTTTCACTTAAGCTCCTGCCATTTGACCCAGGTGAGGCACTTTCTTCTTGGCTGCCTGAGTTGTCATAAACAGAGTAATCAGGTTTCTGGAGAAGGCCTTGGGGCCTTCTCAGGCTGTAAATAGTTTTCTTGTGCTTGCCCAAGATGCACATTGCCTGTGACTGTTCCCATAAATCCACCTTGCAGTTTTCACAGCTACCCTGGAGCTTATTTAGTGCTGGTACCAGGGATGAGCCTTCCTGGCCTGAGATGATATACATCGTTTTTATGGTTTCTTCCTCACCAAACCCCTGCATTTCAGAGAACTTGTATAAATGAGGAAACTGAGGCATAAATGTCTGTAGTTGGCCAGAGGTTGAAGTCATAGGTTGCCTCTCAGATTGCTGCTGTTTCTAGAACATCCATCTGTCTGTCCAGCCTTCTGAGTCCTGGCTTAAAGCACTCTGGTCTTCTGACTTCTTTGAGCATGGGAAGTAGTAACTGATGGGGCGTATGCTACCTGCCATCCTCCCCACGCCATTCCATCTCCGCCATGTCTCCTGTCCTCTCAGCAGGGGTCACCTTATTCATTTTCAAAGAGAGCAAAGAGGGGGAGACAGGAGACCTGAGTTTTTTTTCTTTTTACAAATTTTTTTTTCTCACTGCAAAGGCAATACATTGCATAAAAAAAAATTCTAAGCCAGGTTCGGTGGCTCAGCCTGTAATCCTGTGCTTTGGGATGCCGAGGTGAGTGGATTGCCTGAGCCCACGGGTTCGAGACCCGCCTGAGCAACTTGGCGAGACCTCATCTCTACAATAAATCAAAAATGAGCCGGGCGTGGTAGCGCTCGCCTGTAGTTCCAGCTACTTGGAAGGCTGAGGCGGAAGGATTGCCGGAGCCCAGCAGGTCGAGGCTGCGGTGGCCGGGAGCGACCACTGCACTCCAGTCTGGGTGACAGAGTGAGACTCCAACTCAAAAAAAAAAAAAATTCTAACAGTGACAGAAGTATAAAACAGAAAACTTAACCTTGCAGAGAAAATGGAAAGTAAATGTCTTTTGATATAACCATATATATCTCTCTGGCTAGTATATGTATGCATGTTTCTTTCTGTATAAATCAGATCATGCCATAAAATCTGCTATGCAATTTGATTTTT